TTCACTATGACTGTTTATTTATTATAACCTTACAGAGTATTTTGGTCTATTTTTTAATGTAAATATTCTAGTTCACTTGAAATAAGACAAAACTATCTTCAGCAAGACATAGGAGCTTGTTCCACTTAAAATTATTTCACTAATAATATGAGAAAAATGTCTCACTATAAATGAAACAATCTGCCAGTGGAACAAGGATTTTTGGAACAATATCCAGGACATATTTATTTAAAGCAAGCTCTTATATCTTACTTGTAAGTCAGTTTGTCTTATTTCAAATGTATTAAAATATTTATTTATTCTAGAACTATCTAGTGTTGCTGCTGATCCTTGGATATATTCTGCAGATTCACTGCAAAACACAAAATCTTATCAAGTGATTTTGATCCAGTTTCCAGTGCAAATATCTTAGTACACTTGACATAAGACAAAACTAACTTACAAGAACGTTTAGTCAAAACTTAGGAGCTTGTTTAAGTAAGTAATTCCTCAGTACTGATGAAAAAGTTCTAGTTCCACTGGCGCCGTTACCTAGCAACCCCAGCTAAGCCTAGCTTGTTACTTAGCAACCCCAGCTAAGCCCAGCCTGTTACCTAGCAACCCCAGCTAAGCCCAGCCTGTTACTTAGCAACAAAGTTCTAGTTCCACCGGCAGATTATTTCACTTATAAGACATTTTTCTCATGTTATAAGTGAAAAATATGGAAGCGAAACTAAAACTATGTCATCAACATTAATGCTTAATTTACTTAAAACAAGCTCATAAATCTTGGTAAAAAGTTAATTTTGTCTTATTTCAACTGTATTAAGATATTTGCATTAGAAACTACACCAAAAATACTTTGTAAACATTACCACCATATTAATTTACAAAAACATACAACAAGAACTGAAACTCCCGATTAACCTGATATGTGACACTCATCTGATTCTAAACATTTAAATCCACGTTTCTACAGATTTAGAGTTTTTCTCCTGCTGAAAGTGTCTTTGTTTTCTCCAGGCCGTAAACAGCAGAGAGTCGGCAACAACATGAGCAGCTTGTCAGGACTGATTAGTCAGGACAAAGGCTCGCTGCGGGAAATATGTCTGCTATGAAGCCGGGTAACTCTGCTGACTGCAAACCCAGGAGGATCTCACAACAACCCATTCCAGATGACTGGAATAAATTCAGATTCACGAGGCTTAAAGATCCATTAGTTTATTAAAAAAATACAATAAAGGCTGGGTTACAATAGATCTTTGTCTAAGTGTAAAATATATGTTAAAGGTGCTTCCATGATCATGTCACATGTTCACCACGTCTTGTCACTCCTAGATAATGAGATTTCAATCTGATCAGTTCTGTATATTTTAAGCTCCTTATAGTGCAAACAGCTCAGTACATTTCTTCATAAAACTAATTTATAAGGAACTTTTCAGCAAATATAGGAGTTTATTTTGAGTCAATAATTCCTTAATATGTTCTATTTTCACTGGCAGATTATTTCACTAATAAAAGGTGAAACAGGTTATAAGTTAACTTATAACTTTTCCAATATGTAATTTAAATAATCTGCCAGTGGAACTATAACTTTTTCATCAATATCATTTTGTGTTTTGTAGTGGAGCTGCTGCTGGCCACGCCCCCCAACTCGACGTTTACACTCACACATGAAAATGGCTGCAAACAAATGTGCAATAATACAACTGTACATCTTTAAAAAGCAGAAGTGAGGCCTCCTGCACAACCAATAAGAACACAGCAAGTGGTTTCTTGATGGTAAGTCAACAACTTAACACTTGTCTTTTCCAGCAGCCATTGTACAACGCATACTGTATATTAATAAAAGGTTTATTAAAACCAGCTGACCAAATATGCTGAAGCTGTACTGGGGTTGCTAGGTAACGGGTGGAATTCTGCTGGGGTTGCTAGGTAACGGGTGGAATTCTGCTGGGGTTGCTAGGTAACGGGCGGAATTCTGCTGGGTTTGCTAGGTAACGGGTGGAATTCTGCTGGGGTTGCAGATTTGTGTCGTTACATTTGGAAGGTTGTTTTCCAGACACCAATAACATGATCTTATTGCCAAAAAAGCGACTAAATGTTTATTTTAAGCACTTAAGTACAAAACCATTCAAAATGTGAATTTATGAACTGTTTATACTTCACTCTGACTGATTTGCTGACAATATTTTTAAACTTCATGTGGGAATAACACATTGTTGAGCTGAACTGGAGCATGTGAGCGTTACCTAACACAACAGAAGCATCCAGGACTGAAATAGACGCAGGTATTTGGTGCAAAGGTGAGGAAATTTGGGATTTTGCAGACGTTTTCTGACTCACCCTTGCATGTGAAACACTTCAGGTGGAAGTAGCTGCTCTGCACTCGCAGCGCCTCTCCTTTGCACAGCGCTCCACATCTGAAGCACTGGATTTGTTGTTTTCCTGCCGGAAGACCCGGCTGGCAGCCGTCCAGGGCGTGCAGCACTGCGGGGCGGAAGAAACGGACGCATCAGTGACGAGGCCGATTCATGTAAAAACTGTCACATTTCATCCAGTGTGTCACATTTTTCTTCTGTTTAGATTTTTCTGTCTCTACTTTTCAAATGAGACTTTACTAACAAACACTGACCCAGATCATGACACCACCACCACCGTGTTTGACTGCTGTTGTAGTTAGTTCATTTTTACATAAGACCAGGTTGATTTGTAGTTTCTGTCAATAATAAATGTTTTTGTTGATTGAAAACTATCTTTTTATAAACTAATTTAGGTTATCTTTCTTGTTAAAAATGTTTTTGATGATCTGAAGTATCGTAGTGGGAAATCTGCACATTTTCACGTCATTTGTGAATACTCATAGTAAATAAAAACTAAAAAGTTGAATTATTATTTTTGCAGTGGTGTTATATTACCCAAACGTTTTCACTAAACATTTGATCAGATTTGATCAGAGATCATCAGAAATGTGTCAGAATAAAACAAAAAGAAAAACATCTCCATTTAAAGTGCAAATTAAATTGTATTTGAGTTCATTTTATTTTGGGAACATCTTTCTGGCGACCAAATAAGCATCGGTGAAGAAAATATTTTCTCTGAAGACATGAAGATGTCTCCATGCTGGTAAGTTTTATTGATCGGATCCATTTGATGATTTTTCTATTTAGTTAAATCAGACATTTCTTTATGTGTATTATTTACTTAAGACTCTGATTAATTCAATTTATCTAGTAGCTATAAAAAACAAACATTTAATTGGACAGAAAACTACCAGACATCTGCCTTTAAACCTAAGAGTTCATCCTAAATGGGTTTTTGGTATTTAAACTGGTCTAATCCTCTTTTATTTGAGAATAATAATAAAGGTTTTTGTGTTTTTCCTCTGAGCTTCATCAGATCTCTAACTCTGGGATCAGAGGAACTTTAATGACCTCAAGGCTTTGTTTTTACTCTGATAAATCCCATCAACTGAAGGACGCGCGTCGCCCTTCTTAACTCTTAGTGAATTCAGGCTGCAGTTGAGGCGTCGCGTTCAGCCAGGTTACCAGAGCAAAAGGTCTGCAGAAGTAAGCAGAAAATGTTTGTGATTGGGAGAAAATCCAAATGGAAATGTATTTATTTATAAACTAAACTAACCGACAGAAAGAGGTTTTAAGCCTTATTTTACGACTCATCCAATCCAGAGTTTTAAATTTAGTGCAGCTAAATCCAGATATCATCCACATAGAGTGGAGTCTCTGGTGAACATGCAAAAAATAGGAAGAAATTAAAAAAAGAAAAAAAGCTTTACTATATATATTTGTTTTCTTCTTGGTCCCTAAATTAGCCAACATTAAGAGATATGTACATATATATATATATTTCTAGAAACAGTTAAACTTGAACTGTTTGGCGCTATACACATATAAAATGAATTGACTTAAATTAGAAAACCTCAAACCTACTCCTGTTAAATAAATGTAACTGAAGCGTTTCTTTAGGTTAAACTCTACTTTCTAAGTTAAACAGAAAGTGCAGGAAGTTTTCATTGGTAATCCATCATTAGTTACATTTACTCATTTATATTCATGGCACCATATTAGAGCCATTGTAGATTTTTACCAAAGAACTCAGTAATTTTTAGATTAATCTCAGAAATTTTCCAGAAAAAAACAGGGAAATTTCTTAGGTCCAAAAATCAATCATTTGCTGGAAAAAAGGAAATTTTAAATCTTTTTTTTTCTCTCACAAATTTTCAAGAAAAAACAAGAATATTTGTGAGCTGCAGAAGTTGAAAATTTGTGAGAAAAAAACTCAGAAGTTTTGAGATAAGTCTCAGGACTTTCAAGAAAAAAAAAATTAAGGAAATTTCTGAGTTTCAGAAGACAAAGATTGGCAGAAAAAATCAGGATTTCTGAGATTAATCGCAGAATTTTTCAAGACAAAACTTGGAAATTTCTGAGTTTCAAAAATTGAAACTTTCTGACCTTTGAAACCATGGTCTGCCTAGCAACAATGGCCGGCTTGTTGGCATGGCAACAAGAATCCCGCCTAAACCGCTCTATTGCTTTCTAGAGGATGGATCCTGTGATTAAACAGCAGTTTCTCACTTTTTACTGTAAAACTGTGAACTTATTATGATAATTTTGACTTTAGATTGTGAGATATAGACTTTATATCATTCAAACATCTCTTTCTTCGTCGCTCCGGTCCGTGAAGAAGCAGATCTGGTGTCGGGTATTAACAAATGTTCAATTTAGAAAGACGGCAAATGGAGAGAAACCGGAGAGGGGGCGGCTAATCGCTCAGCCTGTTATCTACAGCTATAAAAAGCCGAAGATAAAGCTGGAGTGAGGGCGGATTTCTTCTTTTCACTTTGTTCTATTAATATTCGAGCTCAAGTATTCACACTTCCTCCAGTTTTTTAGGATTTTAGGCCTCCAGTGGATTTTAATGGGATTTTATGATAGACACACTCCGTAATGCCACATAAAGGGCAACACTGAGATATAAATTCACACAGATAAAAAAGTATCTAAAAAATAAACAAAAGTAAAGAGAATATATTGCATAATAAGGATAAAATTCTAACATAAAACAATGTGCATTTATTAGAAATACCTTGATCTAAGGAATGTACAACTGAATAGGATATTTTTTAACAATATATATAATGTGGGTGTGTATTAAAAGATAATATGAAAAACAAAACCTGTATAAATAACAGATATGTGCAAATAGCAGCAGAAATGTTATGTAAAATGCGTAAAACTACAAATGACAGCTAAGATTTGAACACTTATAGAAACAGATAAAAAAGAAGTGCATTTTTACTAGAAAAAAAATCAAAAATTAGTGATTAGTAATTGACAGCTTGAATATTAGTTCAAGCTGTCAATTTCACTGTCAGCTTTAAGCATCCAGCATGCCGAGGTGAGTGAACCTGTGCATTTGTCCCGTTCAGTTGTGGAGATGTAAATGCTAATTGGGTCAAAAACCGAACTCTGGTCTGCCTACAAATCTCAGTCTCTCATTGGTTGAAGCAACTGGTGCAGTTTAAATGCGTATGTGAATGCCAAGCGAACTGGAGACTGCTCCAAAAGCAGGAAGTGGACTACAGCGCAGGGCATTCTGGGTAAATACAACCAAGTAAACATGATAACCTGGCGCTAGCAGGGAGAAATGACTAATAGAAATCCTGCAACCACTAAAATCTGACGGCTCCATTTTTGTTTACATTTTGTGAAGAAAGACGTTGCGCTCAGTGTCTTCAGAGGTTTTAATGTTGTTTCCTTCTGTGGTTCTTGTTGCAGCGCCCCCGCAGGTGAGGAGGGGAACAACTTTTTCAATTAGTTTGGATCATTTGACAGCGCAGTGTGAAAGAGAACCGCAGCAGGAAATGTAACAAATGAGTCTACCGGACTATCAGGAGGGAAAAACTCTCAGTTTATGTTTTATTGACAAAAACAACCTTCTTCTTTTCAAACACAAACTATTGTGAGTTTATGTTAAAATACAAATACCGGCTTTGGTTAGGAGAGGTGTTAAACTGACCCATCAATAATAATTTCACTCAGATTGAACAGTGTTTATGGAACATGTGTCCTCATGTTCCATAATCATAAAAAGCACAACGCTGCAGTCAGAGACGGCTCTAACATCACAATAACTTCTGCTGTCCTTGCACTTTTACCTACTTGGCGCCGTTCTCATCACTGGAAGTTAGTTTTCTAGCATTTCTGAGGTTGAAGAATCTCAAGGAAGTTTTAAAACTAGACTGAATCCACAAAACAAAACATTTTCATTCAACTTCCTGACAAAAAACAAGAAGTCTACAAACCAAGACAACCTGATTTTTTCCCTGACGTATGAAGCAATTAAAAGAAAAATGAACAGAGAATGTAAAATTTTGCATATTTGTTTGATTTCTCAACTTTGACCCAAAATACTAAAGAAATAAGAAACATTTTGATGTAAAGTGAATAAAAATTAAAGTTTTTCTCTTGGTGTTTTTATGCATTTTTGACCGGATTTATCTTAAAAAGAATTTAAAAACAAATACAAAATCTCTTTTCTTTGATTTCAAAATCTAAATAAATTTCCTGGTGTTATGAAAACAAGCCATTTTGTTTTGCTAATGTAGCTTTTGAGCCTCTAATCTTATTTTGTTTCGCTTGTAAATTTTGCTGATCCTTGTCCTAACATCAACCCTGCTGCAGTTTAAAAACTATAGATATAAATAAAGTGTAAATAAACCTAATTAATTCAAATATAAATCATAAAGTTTGCATTTGCAGAGAGAAGTTGGCAGAGTTTACCTTTCTGTTTCATGACTGCTGATTGTTCCCAGAGCGAGGAGACTAAACCAACGAGCTGCTGCTGCCAGAGGAGAGGGGGCGGTCTGAAAACACACACGGTGTGTGTGTGTGTGTGTGTGTGTTAAATTCTGTTGTCTATCTGATCCATGACCTCATCTGTGATGGAAAGGGAGGAAGTCTGGCGGCTCATCGGCTGGGAGAAATGACCTTCCTTCATTTCATAAAGGTCTGACTGATTATGACACTTCAACTTCAATAAATAAGAATATTCATTAAAAGTTTCTTTAGTTGAGCAGTAAAAGCAGCTTACAAAATGTGCTGGAGCTCCGATTGGGTTGCTAGGAAAGGGATGGAATTCTGCTGGGGTTGCTAGGTAACAGGCGGAATTCTGCTGGGGTTGCTAGGTAACGGCGCAGTGCCTGCTGATCTGTGACGTTACATTCGGAAGGTTTTTGAAACGGCTCGATTTGCAGAAACCAAAAGACTTTGACTTATAGTCAGAAACTGGCTAAATGTTTGTTTATTCTACTCTGGAAAACTATTTCACTAAAAGAAAGACATTTTCCCCATTTTTATTTCATTATAAGTGAAATAATCTGAGTGGAACAAGACCTTTTTTCATTAGTATTGAGGAATTATTGACTTAAAAGAAGCTCCCATATCTTGTTGAAAAGTTACTTGTGAGTTAGTTTTGTCTTATTTCTAACAGAATCACAAAATTTTACCAAATATTTTGGTCTTGTTCTAGTTCAAATATCTTAGTTCACTTAAATAAGACAAAACTTACAAGTAACTTTTCAGCAAATCATATGAGCTTTCTTTAAATCAAGAATTCCTTAATATTGATGGAAAATTTCTAGTTCCACTGGCTGATTATTCCAGTTATAAGTGGAGAAAATATCATGTCAAGTGAAATAATCTGCCAGTGGAACTGGAACTTTTCCATCAATATTAAGGACTCATGGCTCATATAAGCTCCTGTTTCTTGCTGAAAAGTTATTTGTAAGTTAGTTTTGTGTTTTTTTCAAATGCACAAATATCTTTGCAGTAGACATTAAACCAAGTTGACTTGTTCATTTGTCGTGTTTTGCAGTGTAGCAGGAGCTGCTGCTGACCTGAGACCTCTGCAGGAATCCCAGCCAGCTTCTCGCAGACGATGTAGTCGTCCGGGTTGATGAAGGGCAGCTGCTCCATCATGCACTGCTTGGGGATGAGGTAGAGGACCTCGGCCAGCTGCCCGTCCTCGATGATGGACATGCGCCTGACCGAGTTCTTCCTCTTGACCCGGTCCAGGATCACCATGTCGCTGCTGTTGCCGGAGCCGCACAGCTTCCCCAGGCTGTTGAGTTTCAGGAGGCTGGAGCGGTTCATGCTTCCAGCAGGACAGATCGCGTCTGAAACCAGGCAGCACCGTCCAGGCTAAGCTGCTCTCTGACTCCTTATCATTGTCAGTGTGTGTGTGTGTGTGTGTGTGTGTGTGTGTGTGTGTGTTTTCCACCAGGACAAAGGCTAACTCCTACCACAAGCCCCCTAAGCAGATTAGGTGTGGTATATTTAGGGTTTCTCTTCATGGCAATCAGAGGTTTTAAATTCAGGTAACCTTCTCTCCTCAGTTTGAGACGCTTTATGCTGTGGTTATTTAACTACACTGCAAAAACACAACATATTACCAAGAATGTTTAGTCTAGTTTCTAGTGCAAATATCTTACTACACTTAAAATAAGACAAAACTAACTTATAAGTAACTTTTCAGCAAATATAAGTGCTTGTTTTTGTCAATAACTCCTTAATCTATATGAAAAAGTTCTAGTTGAAATATCACATTATTTCACTCACATTACGAGACATTTTCCCCTGTTAGAAGGAAATAATCTGCCAGTGGAACCAACTTTATCATCAATATTTAAAAAATTATTGACAAGCTTTTATATCTTGCTGAAAAATTACTAGTAAGTCAGTTCGTTTGATATCAAATGTATTAAGATGTTTGTACTAGAAATTAGACCCAAAAATACTTGGTAAGATTTTCTACCAAAGGAACAGCATATACACTTTAAAAAGCACAAAATCTGACCAAGAATTTTAATCTAGTTTTTATTATAAATATCTCAGTACATTTGAAATAAGACAAAACTAACTTACTAATAACTTTTCATCAGGATATAGCATCTCGTTTTAAGTCAATCATTTCTTAATATTGATGAGAAGGTTCTAGTTCGGGGGGGGGAGGGGGCATCTCCAGGCCTGGAGGGGCTCCTGCAACTTTTAGATGTGTCTCTACTTCAACACACCTGAGTCAAATAATGAGGTCGTTAGCAGGAACCTGACTGCACCGAGGAGGAGATCCAGCTGTTGGATTCAAGTGTGTTGGACGTCTAAGAGTTGCAGGACACCGGCCCTCCAGGACCAGGATTGCCCACCCCTGTTCTAGTTCCACTGACGCTGTTACCTAGCAACCCCAGCCAAGCCCAGCCGTTACCTAGCAACCCCAGCCAAGCCCAGCCGTTACCTAGCAACCCAGTTCTAGTTCCACTGGCAGATTATTTCACTTCTAGCAAGACATTTTTTCCATGTTACAGTTGAAATAATACAGTGGATCTGGAACTTTTCCCATCAATATTAAAGGCATTTGTACTTAAAACAAGATACTAAGATATTTGAACTCAAACGAGACCAAAAGTATTTGGTAAAGTTTTGCTTTTTGCAGTGCTTTCACCATAAAAACTCGATAAATTCTACATTCTTACACCAGAATGTGCTTCTGTGTGTTAGAGTTTAATTTTTTTCAGCTGCAGATTANATCTTATTGCCAAAAAAGCGACTAAATGTTTATTTTAAGCACTTAAGTACAAAACCATTCAAAATGTGAATTTATGAACTGTTTATACTTCACTCTGACTGATTTGCTGACAATATTTTTAAACTTCATGTGGGAATAACACATTGTTGAGCTGAACTGGAGCATGTGAGCGTTACCTAACACAACAGAAGCATCCAGGACTGAAATAGACGCAGGTATTTGGTGCAAAGGTGAGGAAATTTGGGATTTTGCAGACGTTTTCTGACTCACCCTTGCATGTGAAACACTTCAGGTGGAAGTAGCTGCTCTGCACTCGCAGCGCCTCTCCTTTGCACAGCGCTCCACATCTGAAGCACTGGATTTGTTGTTTTCCTGCCGGAAGACCCGGCTGGCAGCCGTCCAGGGCGTGCAGCACTGCGGGGCGGAAGAAACGGACGCATCAGTGACGAGGCCGATTCATGTAAAAACTGTCACATTTCATCCAGTGTGTCACATTTTTCTTCTGTTTAGATTTTTCTGTCTCTACTTTTCAAATGAGACTTTACTAACAAACACTGACCCAGATCATGACACCACCACCACCGTGTTTGACTGCTGTTGTAGTTAGTTCATTTTTACATAAGACCAGGTTGATTTGTAGTTTCTGTCAATAATAAATGTTTTTGTTGATTGAAAACTATCTTTTTATAAACTAATTTAGGTTATCTTTCTTGTTAAAAATGTTTTTGATGATCTGAAGTATCGTAGTGGGAAATCTGCACATTTTCACGTCATTTGTGAATACTCATAGTAAATAAAAACTAAAAAGTTGAATTATTATTTTTGCAGTGGTGTTATATTACCCAAACGTTTTCACTAAACATTTGATCAGATTTGATCAGAGATCATCAGAAATGTGTCAGAATAAAACAAAAAGAAAAACATCTCCATTTAAAGTGCAAATTAAATTGTATTTGAGTTCATTTTATTTTGGGAACATCTTTCTGGCGACCAAATAAGCATCGGTGAAGAAAATATTTTCTCTGAAGACATGAAGATGTCTCCATGCTGGTAAGTTTTATTGATCGGATCCATTTGATGATTTTTCTATTTAGTTAAATCAGACATTTCTTTATGTGTATTATTTACTTAAGACTCTGATTAATTCAATTTATCTAGTAGCTATAAAAAACAAACATTTAATTGGACAGAAAACTACCAGACATCTGCCTTTAAACCTAAGAGTTCATCCTAAATGGGTTTTTGGTATTTAAACTGGTCTAATCCTCTTTTATTTGAGAATAATAATAAAGGTTTTTGTGTTTTTCCTCTGAGCTTCATCAGATCTCTAACTCTGGGATCAGAGGAACTTTAATGACCTCAAGGCTTTGTTTTTACTCTGATAAATCCCATCAACTGAAGGACGCGCGTCGCCCTTCTTAACTCTTAGTGAATTCAGGCTGCAGTTGAGGCGTCGCGTTCAGCCAGGTTACCAGAGCAAAAGGTCTGCAGAAGTAAGCAGAAAATGTTTGTGATTGGGAGAAAATCCAAATGGAAATGTATTTATTTATAAACTAAACTAACCGACAGAAAGAGGTTTTAAGCCTTATTTTACGACTCATCCAATCCAGAGTTTTAAATTTAGTGCAGCTAAATCCAGATATCATCCACATAGAGTGGAGTCTCTGGTGAACATGCAAAAAATAGGAAGAAATTAAAAAAAGAAAAAAAGCTTTACTATATATATTTGTTTTCTTCTTGGTCCCTAAATTAGCCAACATTAAGAGATATGTACATATATATATATATTTCTAGAAACAGTTAAACTTGAACTGTTTGGCGCTATACACATATAAAATGAATTGACTTAAATTAGAAAACCTCAAACCTACTCCTGTTAAATAAATGTAACTGAAGCGTTTCTTTAGGTTAAACTCTACTTTCTAAGTTAAACAGAAAGTGCAGGAAGTTTTCATTGGTAATCCATCATTAGTTACATTTACTCATTTATATTCATGGCACCATATTAGAGCCATTGTAGATTTTTACCAAAGAACTCAGTAATTTTTAGATTAATCTCAGAAATTTTCCAGAAAAAAACAGGGAAATTTCTTAGGTCCAAAAATCAATCATTTGCTGGAAAAAAGGAAATTTTAAATCTTTTTTTTTCTCTCACAAATTTTCAAGAAAAAACAAGAATATTTGTGAGCTGCAGAAGTTGAAAATTTGTGAGAAAAAAACTCAGAAGTTTTGAGATAAGTCTCAGGACTTTCAAGAAAAAAAAAATTAAGGAAATTTCTGAGTTTCAGAAGACAAAGATTGGCAGAAAAAATCAGGATTTCTGAGATTAATCGCAGAATTTTTCAAGACAAAACTTGGAAATTTCTGAGTTTCAAAAATTGAAACTTTCTGACCTTTGAAACCATGGTCTGCCTAGCAACAATGGCCGGCTTGTTGGCATGGCAACAAGAATCCCGCCTAAACCGCTCTATTGCTTTCTAGAGGATGGATCCTGTGATTAAACAGCAGTTTCTCACTTTTTACTGTAAAACTGTGAACTTATTATGATAATTTTGACTTTAGATTGTGAGATATAGACTTTATATCATTCAAACATCTCTTTCTTCGTCGCTCCGGTCCGTGAAGAAGCAGATCTGGTGTCGGGTATTAACAAATGTTCAATTTAGAAAGACGGCAAATGGAGAGAAACCGGAGAGGGGGCGGCTAATCGCTCAGCCTGTTATCTACAGCTATAAAAAGCCGAAGATAAAGCTGGAGTGAGGGCGGATTTCTTCTTTTCACTTTGTTCTATTAATATTCGAGCTCAAGTATTCACACTTCCTCCAGTTTTTTAGGATTTTAGGCCTCCAGTGGATTTTAATGGGATTTTATGATAGACACACTCCGTAATGCCACATAAAGGGCAACACTGAGATATAAATTCACACAGATAAAAAAGTATCTAAAAAATAAACAAAAGTAAAGAGAATATATTGCATAATAAGGATAAAATTCTAACATAAAACAATGTGCATTTATTAGAAATACCTTGATCTAAGGAATGTACAACTGAATAGGATATTTTTTAACAATATATATAATGTGGGTGTGTATTAAAAGATAATATGAAAAACAAAACCTGTATAAATAACAGATATGTGCAAATAGCAGCAGAAATGTTATGTAAAATGCGTAAAACTACAAATGACAGCTAAGATTTGAACACTTATAGAAACAGATAAAAAAGAAGTGCATTTTTACTAGAAAAAAAATCAAAAATTAGTGATTAGTAATTGACAGCTTGAATATTAGTTCAAGCTGTCAATTTCACTGTCAGCTTTAAGCATCCAGCATGCCGAGGTGAGTGAACCTGTGCATTTGTCCCGTTCAGTTGTGGAGATGTAAATGCTAATTGGGTCAAAAACCGAACTCTGGTCTGCCTACAAATCTCAGTCTCTCATTGGTTGAAGCAACTGGTGCAGTTTAAATGCGTATGTGAATGCCAAGCGAACTGGAGACTGCTCCAAAAGCAGGAAGTGGACTACAGCGCAGGGCATTCTGGGTAAATACAACCAAGTAAACATGATAACCTGGCGCTAGCAGGGAGAAATGACTAATAGAAATCCTGCAACCACTAAAATCTGACGGCTCCATTTTTGTTTACATTTTGTGAAGAAAGACGTTGCGCTCAGTGTCTTCAGAGGTTTTAATGTTGTTTCCTTCTGTGGTTCTTGTTGCAGCGCCCCCGCAGGTGAGGAGGGGAACAACTTTTTCAATTAGTTTGGATCATTTGACAGCGCAGTGTGAAAGAGAACCGCAGCAGGAAATGTAACAAATGAGTCTACCGGACTATCAGGAGGGAAAAACTCTCAGTTTATGTTTTATTGACAAAAACAACCTTCTTCTTTTCAAACACAAACTATTGTGAGTTTATGTTAAAATACAAATACCGGCTTTGGTTAGGAGAGGTGTTAAACTGACCCATCAATAATAATTTCACTCAGATTGAACAGTGTTTATGGAACATGTGTCCTCATGTTCCATAATCATAAAAAGCACAACGCTGCAGTCAGAGACGGCTCTAACATCACAATAACTTCTGCTGTCCTTGCACTTTTACCTACTTGGCGCCGTTCTCATCACTGGAAGTTAGTTTTCTAGCATTTCTGAGGTTGAAGAATCTCAAGGAAGTTTTAAAACTAGACTGAATCCACAAAANAAAANATTTTCATTCAACTTCCTGACAAAAAACAAGAAGTCTACAAACCAAGACAACCTGATTTTTTCCCTGACGTATGAAGCAATTAAAAGAAAAATGAACAGAGAATGTAAAATTTTGCATATTTGTTTGATTTCTCAACTTTGACCCAAAATACTAAAGAAATAAGAAACATTTTGATGTAAAGTGAATAAAAATTAAAGTTTTTCTCTTGGTGTTTTTATGCATTTTTGACCGGATTTATCTTAAAAAGAATTTAAAAACAAATACAAAATCTCTTTTCTTTGATTTCAAAATCTAAATAAATTTCCTGGTGTTATGAAAACAAGCCATTTTGTTTTGCTAATGTAGCTTTTGAGCCTCTAATCTTATTTTGTTTCGCTTGTAAATTTTGCTGATCCTTGTCCTAACATCAACCCTGCTGCAGTTTAAAAACTATAGATATAAATAAAGTGTAAATAAACCTAATTAATTCAAATATAAATCATAAAGTTTGCATTTGCAGAGAGAAGTTGGCAGAGTTTACCTTTCTGTTTCATGACTGCTGATTGTTCCCAGAGCGAGGAGACTAAACCAACGAGCTGCTGCTGCCAGAGGAGAGGGGGCGGTCTGAAAACACACACGGTGTGTGTGTGTGTGTGTGTGTGTTAAATTCTGTTGTCTATCTGATCCATGACCTCATCTGTGATGGAAAGGGAGGAAGTCTGGCGGCTCATCGGCTGGGAGAAATGACCTTCCTTCATTTCATAAAGGTCTGACTGATTATGACACTTCAACTTCAATAAATAAGAATATTCATTAAAAGTTTCTTTAGTTGAGCAGTAAAAGCAGCTTACAAAATGTGCTGGAGCTCCGATTGGGTTGCTAGGAAAGGGATGGAATTCTGCTGGGGTTGCTAGGTAACAGGCGGAATTCTGCTGGGGTTGCTAGGTAACGGCGCAGTGCCTGCTGATCTGTGACGTTACATTCGGAAGGTTTTTGAAACGGCTCGATTTGCAGAAACCAAAAGACTTTGACTTATAGTCAGAAACTGGCTAAATGTTTGTTTATTCTACTCTGGAAAACTATTTCACTAAAAGAAAGACATTTTCCCCATTTTTATTTCATTATAAGTGAAATAATCTGAGTGGAACAAGACCTTTTTTCATTAGTATTGAGGAATTATTGACTTAAAAGAAGCTCCCATATCTTGTTGAAAAGTTACTTGTGAGTTAGTTTTGTCTTATTTCTAACAGAATCACAAAATTTTACCAAATATTTTGGTCTTGTTCTAGTTCAAATATCTTAGTTCACTTAAATAAGACAAAACTTACAAGTAACTTTTCAGCAAATCATATGAGCTTTCTTTAAATCAAGAATTCCTTAATATTGATGGAAAATTTCTAGTTCCACTGGCTGATTATTCCAGTTATAAGTGGAGAAAATATCATGTCAAGTGAAATAATCTGCCAGTGGAACTGGAACTTTTCCATCAATATTAAGGACTCATGGCTCATATAAGCTCCTGTTTCTTGCTGAAAAGTTATTTGTAAGTTAGTTTTGTGTTTTTTTCAAATGCACAAATATCTTTGCAGTAGACATTAAACCAAGTTGACTTGTTCATTTGTCGTGTTTTGCAGTGTAGCAGGAGCTGCTGCTGACCTGAGACCTCTGCAGGAATCCCAGCCAGCTTCTCGCAGACGATGTAGTCGTCCGGGTTGATGAAGGGCAGCTGCTCCATCATGCACTGCTTGGGGATGAGGTAGAGGACCTCGGCCAGCTGCCCGTCCTCGATGATGGACATGCGCCTGACCGAGTTCTTCCTCTTGACCCGGTCCAGGATCACCATGTCGCTGCTGTTGCCGGAGCCGCACAGCTTCCCCAGGCTGTTGAGTTTCAGGAGGCTGGAGCGGTTCATGCTTCCAGCAGGACAGATCGCGTCTGAAACCAGGCAGCACCGTCCAGGCTAAGCTGCTCTCTGACTCCTTATCATTGTCAGTGTGTGTGTGTGTGTGTGTGTGTGTGTGTGTGTGTGTGTTTTCCACCAGGACAAAGGCTAACTCCTACCACAAGCCCCCTAAGCAGATTAGGTGTGGTATATTTAGGGTTTCTCTTCATGGCAATCAGAGGTTTTAAATTCAGGTAACCTTCTCTCCTCAGTTTGAGACGCTTTATGCTGTGGTTATTTAACTACACTGCAAAAACACAACATATTACCAAGAATGTTTAGTCTAGTTTCTAGTGCAAATATCTTACTACACTTAAAATAAGACAAAACTAACTTATAAGTAACTTTTCAGCAAATATAAGTGCTTGTTTTTGTCAATAACTCCTTAATCTATATGAAAAAGTTCTAGTTGAAATATCACATTATTTCACTCACATTACGAGACATTTTCCCCTGTTAGAAGGAAATAATCTGCCAGTGGAACCAACTTTATCATCAATATTTAAAAAATTATTGACAAGCTTTTATATCTTGCTGAAAAATTACTAGTAAGTCAGTTCGTTTGATATCAAATGTATTAAGATGTTTGTACTAGAAATTAGACCCAAAAATACTTGGTAAGATTTTCTACCAAAGGAACAGCATATACACTTTAAAAAGCACAAAATCTGACCAAGAATTTTAATCTAGTTTTTATTATAAATATCTCAGTACATTTGAAATAAGACAAAACTAACTTACTAATAACTTTTCATCAGGATATAGCATCTCGTTTTAAGTCAATCATTTCTTAATATTGATGAGAAGGTTCTAGTTCGGGGGGGGGAGGGGGCATCTCCAGGCCTGGAGGGGCTCCTGCAACTTTTAGATGTGTCTCTACTTCAACACACCTGAGTCAAATAATGAGGTCGTTAGCAGGAACCTGACTGCACCGAGGAGGAGATCCAGCTGTTGGATTCAAGTGTGTTGGACGTCTAAGAGTTGCAGGACACCGGCCCTCCAGGACCAGGATTGCCCACCCCTGTTCTAGTTCCACTGACGCTGTTACCTAGCAACCCCAGCCAAGCCCAGCCGTTACCTAGCAACCCCAGCCAAGCCCAGCCGTTACCTAGCAACCCAGTTCTAGTTCCACTGGCAGATTATTTCACTTCTAGCAAGACATTTTTTCCATGTTACAGTTGAAATAATACAGTGGATCTGGAACTTTTCCCATCAATATTAAAGGCATTTGTACTTAAAACAAGATACTAAGATATTTGAACTCAAACGAGACCAAAAGTATTTGGTAAAGTTTTGCTTTTTGCAGTGCTTTCACCATAAAAACTCGATAAATTCTACATTCTTACACCAGAATGTGCTTCTGTGTGTTAGAGTTTAATTTTTTTCAGCTGCAGATTATTGACCGGTTAATTAATCTGCATTAAGTGGAAGCCAAAGGAGAAACAGCTAAAAGAGGCACTCCTTAGTCGCTATATTTATCTGGACAGTTTGGTATTTTAAGGAGTCTGAACGCTTCGAGGAGGTGACAGCTTGACGTCTGTAAACGACGTAATGAAGACGCTACTGAAATGAAAATGAGCAAAGCGCTCCCCCTGCTGGTCTGGATGAACACAACATGGCAACCACCGACAGTAAATCAGAGGATTTTTTTATTTGTGCCTGAATAAAATGTTTTACAAGGGGGAAGTGGGCAGGCTTTTGTGAAAAAAAGTTATGCTCTTTATATTGTTTATTTATTTAGTTTTCCTTAAAAAAAATAAATAAATAAATAAGACGAATGAAAAAGTAATGTTTATTCTTCTGCCTGGTTGTTTCAAACAGTTATCTAAATAGATATCATGGTGTTTTAAATAATAATAACAATAATAATAAACTAATAGTAGTTTTAGTAACATTTCAATAGATTTACTTAAATAAAAGTAAAAAGTCGTAAAAACAGTCTTTTTTACTAAATGCTGTTCAATCCTTACATCTGATTTAATTTGTACTAAATTACGAATCAGACTGACTAAATTTTAACGTTATGTACAAATTGTAGTATTTAGAACAAATAAACCATAAAAACAGCAAATTCAGGCAGAAGAAACAGATTTCCAAAAATGTTTGTGAATCTGCGTCTTAGTTCATCATTTTGAATGCAAGTGTGATTTTTACTGAGTCTGAATCTGAAAGCTTCTGTTTTGTTTTCATTTCCATCTGAGAGGTTTAAAAAAACTAAATTACAAACGATTCAGTGTGTTTGTCTAAAGGAAAATAAACACTAAAACTACAAATTTGACTCTAAAAATGGTCAAAATGTCACAGAGGAAAATCAAAGAAATGTTGAAAAAAACAAACATTAAGATTCAATGAAAAACCTGTGAAGAACAACAAATCAGAACAATTATTTAATAAAACAACCTTCAGCTCAGGTATTAAAACATCTACAGTATGAATAGTGTTAGAAATCACATTAAAAAAAACAATTTAAAAAGTAGTTTATACTTAATTCACCTTGAAATTTACCGATTCCCTTTAAACTAAGAACCACAAGGAGAAAAAAATACAATTGGTTGTAAAATAGTTAGATACTATTTATTTGATCTGTATTGAGATAAAATGTAAAAAATGAACAGAAACAAACAGAAGTCAGATTCACCTGCAGGATATGTTTAAGAAAAAACAAAATTTTTGGTAAAATCTTCAGTCAGACTCTTAACGAAGTGAAAAGTAGTCGACTTGTGACAGATTTAGGATGAAATGTTCGTAAAAAAAAATCCCAAAATTAGGTGAGCAGAAGTGCTGACAAAAAAAGAAAAAGTGCCGAGATGTGCGCCAGAGGGAACACCAAGTCAGCAGGAACCGGATGTGATGGACGGATCTGGACTGCCTTAAAACTATGATGTCTTCAGTCAGAGGCTTCATCAAAGCCACTGGAGTACAGACCTCTACAGCATCTACAACTCTTTGGAGTTGAAGCATTTAACTTCCCTCTAGGATTAACGAAATATTTTTGAGTTTGATCTGAAAACATGTCATTTTTTAAATTATATTTTTAATGAGTTTCATCATTTCTGTCTCACGTTGATAAAAAGTGACCAGATTTGGAATGAATGCAAAGTACAAACGTTACAAGATTAAATTTAGAGAAACAGTGCCATCTAGTGGCGACGGCGAGAACTGAGCCTTTTAACACAACTATAATGGGAATCAATTTTCAGCTTTTTGTTTAAAAAATAAGAAATAACTGCATAAATTTGGTCTGGAGGAAGAGTTTGGGTTAAACATTTAAACTTGGTGATAAATGTGACAAACATTTCAGACTTCAGTAAAGTCTGGAATAAAACATCTTTTTACTGAAAATGTAGTTTTAAAAGATTTTCTCTTGTATTCCTTTAAATTCAGACAGGACAACAAAAAATAAAGTCAGAAAGTTTCAATATTGTTTTGATAAAATAAACAATATTGTCTTTAAATGAGGTTTAGAGTCAAGAATTAAAACAAGTTAAAAATCTGCATGACATCAACATTTGTGCAGCGTTGGTGTTGAAGTGCTATGGCACCACGGCGACAGGGCCGTTTAGACAAAAAAACAAGGACAGGATGAGACATTTACTCCCAAAGGCTCTGAAATTTTGAGAATAATCTCAGAATGTTGTAGAAAAAAAACTTGAAATTTCAACTTTTTATACTCAGAAATTTGCAGGTTTTTTTCTACAAAGTTTCTGAGATTAATTTCAAAGTTTCAGTTTTCTGGCAAATTCATGACTTTTTCAACTCAGAAATTTTCCAGTTTTTCTAGAAATTTTATAAGATTAATATAAAAGTTCGAGTTTCTTCAAGCAAATTTTCAACTTTTCAAATTCAGAAATTTCCAAGTTTGTTCTACAAAATTTCTGAGATTAATCTTAAAATTTCTGAGTTTGTTTTCTAGAAAATTTTCAACATTAAAACTCCAAACTTTCCAAGACTTTTTCAACAAAATTCTTGAATTTTTTCAAGACTTTTCAAACTCAGACGTTCTCCTTTTCACATTTTTTGGCAGAAATTTGCTCCATTTTTTCTTTCTAGAGCAGCCCAAAAAAAAAAAAAAAAAGTCGGCCTGGAGAAAGTTGAACTTGACTGAGTTGCTACAGAGCAACTCGTTTGTCATTTTGAGACATAAAACATGAGAAAACCTCATGAGTTGATGGAATTGGTCTGGTTTTGCTCCTCCTCCTGCGTCCGGGTGAGCGGCTCTCGCTCGGCGTCTCCCTCCGCCGGCCGCGACCTTTTGGTCGTCTTGTTCAGCGTCCCGCCCTGCAGGCACGTCGGGACAAAATGCCGTTAGCGCCGTGAAGCAGAGTGCGTCAGCGGGACGGCGGCGATGTCTGACCTGTCTGCGGTCGACGATGTTGAGCAGAAGTGAGGCGACGATGCAGCAGACGGTGTTGGCCAGCATGAAGATCATCATCCTCTGCCAGCGCCACAGCGGGATTTTAGCTTCACTGCAGGAGACAGGAAATCTGTAAAACACTGCCGCTGCAAGGAGGACCACAGCTGGAGAGGAAGAGGACTCCCAAAAAATATAAAAAGAATTTTGTCTCAGGATTCTGACTTTTTTCAGAATTCTTTAACCTCAGAATTTAGATTTTTTTTCTTAAAATTCTCACTTTTTTTCAGAATTTAGACTTTTATTTTTAAAAATTCTTTAAAGTTAGATTTTTATTATCATTATTTTTTGCAGTGTCCCTCTTCCATAGAATGGTTTAATTACCTGGATTTGGTGCCCAAAATCTGCCCGACGATCAGGTTGGACACTCCGATGCCGACCATCTGCATGGAGGTGGCCAAGCCCATGGCCGTTCCCAGCGTGGCCTGAGGAACCACCAGGGGGATGGACGGCCACATGCTGGCCTGGAGCGAAACCCGGAGAGGAAAACCAGGAACACGACAAGGATAAACCAGGAACACGACAAGGATAAACCAGGAACACGACAAGGATAAACCAGGAACACGACAATGATAAACCAGGAACACGCCAAGGATAAACCAGGAACACGACAAGGATAAAACAGGAACACGACAAGGATAAACCAGGAACACGCCAAGGATAAACCAGGAACACACCAAGGATACGGGCAAAGAAAATATAAAAACTGTTTTAGGACTGCAGTCATCAATGGTCAAAAGAACATTTAATAAACCGTGATTTATTTTGCTAAGATGATAGATGGTGTTACAAGGAACTTGCTAATAAAAATCTGAAAAGTGTGGCATGCATTTACATTCTTTACTAACTCTGCATTCAAAAAGCAGCCAAACCAACCCCATGTCTTCACATGAGGGACTAAATCAGAAACTCATCCGACAGTTTTTATTCTGAGCATTCGTGTCACCAGACGCGGCTCCATCCAACTCAAGCTAGCAGAGATACACCACAAAAGACTCGCAAACAGCAAATGCATGCCACACTTTTCAGATTTTTAGTCATAAGACATGTTTTGAAATTTTATATGTTTTGTTCCTTTTAAAAAGTAGCTAACTGCCAACACAAAGTTAGCTGTGCTAACCCTGAAACACTAATCGTAAACATTAGTTTTGCTAACCGCTAAATGCTAACTGCGCTAAACCCAAATCTAGCGGATTAGCAGAAGTGTTCCTGGAACTCCAGTTAGTAATTATGCAGAACTTTCCGCTGGTTTATCACATAAAATTAAAAAATTTCGGCTGAATGTGAAAAAACGTAGAAACTTTAGCAAGGCGCTGGATGCTAGCGCTCAAATTTACACAAGCCAGCAATGATGATTTAAAGCCATTGCCAGAAATTAAATTAAAAATTAAACAGCCTAAAACCAGATGTGTTAAATGATTCACAGTTGAGTAAAACCGTCTGAAACTCACGGCAGCGAAGGAGTAAGTGACTCCCAGCCAGATGGTGGAGACCAGAGGAGGGACGAAGGTGAAGGCCAGCAGTCCGAAGACGGGCAGCGTGAAAACGGCGCAGGCCACCGCAAAAACTCCCCGAAGGCCCACATAATCCTAAATCACAAAGTTGGAACCAATCAAAGTGATTTCTGGCCAGACTGACTCCAGAGCGGCGGTGGCTTACGATGAGGATGCCCACGCCGGCCGAGAGCACCAGCGAGCTGTCGTACACGGCGCCCGCGACGTACGCCGCCTCCTTCTGGCTGTAGTCGCTGTATTTATCCTGGATGAACTTACTGCACAGGAAACAACGTGAAAAATGCTTAAAAACAAACAACTGCAGTTTTATTAATGATTCTGACATAAAACTGTGACCCAGAAGTATGTTGCGTATAGGGCTGAAACGATTAATCGTGATTAATCGATTATTGGAGCAATCATCAACTAATTTAGTACTTGATTAGTCATTGACTGTTGAGTACAGACTAAAAATAGATAATTACTGAAAGAACAACACACTAAATTAGTTGACGATTATTTCAATAATCGATTAATCACGATTAATGTGATTAATTGCATTAGTCATCTGAAAAAATGGCAATTATTTTCTGAAAAAGCATCATTCTCAGAGAGGTAATTAAACTAAAACTGTACAAAAACATAAACATTTTGCATTTAAGACAAAAAAAAACCTTCGTGAATAATTTCTACCCAGAACGTCTCAACTGTCAGGTTTTGCTCATCTTGTTCAAATTATGTAAAAATAATAATTAAAAAAAAAATTATAATCTGTTAACTGAAAAAACAACAACATGTCAGCCTTTCACTGTATTGATCAGTCAAGCAGAAAAATTACTGTTAGTATTTGTTTTAACTGCAAATTCATCCTATAAATGATCAAACATTCATAATGAAAAGCTGTCACTGCAATTAAGGCTATAATATAAAAAAATTACATTATTTATTCCCATTTTTAATGTATTTCTAATATTGCGTAAAAATATCTGATTAATCGCAGAAATAGTCAATTAATCGTCAAAATAATTGATTAACAGAATAACTGCTTAATCGGCAGAATACTTAATTGACAAAATAATCAGTTAATTATTAGAACAACAGATTGTCAGAGTAATTGATTAATTGCCAGAATATTTGTAAAATAATCGTATCAGCTCTACCTGGCATCAGCGATGAAGGGGAAAATGCCGTTGTAGAAGAACATGATGGTGAGAACCAGCAGCCAGTACCGGAGCGACAGCAGCTTCACATCCTGAACCCTCTGAACACAGAAAGACTCGGGTAAGTTGGGCCCAGAGTTCTGCTGGAATCGGTTCTGGAGAGACGATTACATCCATCCAAAACGTTTTCTTTATCAGGATGGAGAGATGATGATGAAAAATGGCTGAATGGTTGGGTTAATTTTAATATTTTCTCTTAATCACAAGAGTAAACATTTTACAAACAGTTTAAAATACTTATAAACAGGACAAAGGAACCAAAGGAGCATGTATGTATACATTTGAGCCTGAATAATCTGGGTTTTAGAGAAACTAGTGTTGATGGTGACTGTATGTAAACTTCTGACTGTTGGCCATGAGCGAGAGGGTCTGACCACTTTGCGGGACTCCTCTGCGATGGCCCCGTCGAGGCCCAGCTGCCTCATGCCCATCTTGTCCAGAGCGCTCACGACGACCGCAGAAACGAAGCCGAGCACGCACAGCAGAGCGCCTGGGAAAAGCAGAAAAACCGTCATCTGGAGGCAGGAACTCTTCTGCACAGGCGGCGCTTCCTGGTCAACGTACCACCCCACAGCGTCCACTGCATGCCGTATCGGTCTTCAAACTTCTGCGTGAAGAAGAAGTTGAGGACCGAACCGAGGCGGGAAAAGGCGAGCGTCACACCGAAGGCCAGCGCCAGCTCCTTCCCTTTGAACCAGAACGCTGTGATGCGGTTCTGCACAACTGGGAAAACAAACAAGGCTGCAGCGAGCCCTCTCTCTCTCACACCTGGGATCATAAACTGGACCAGACTGCTTCTTACTGGTCAAAGATCCGTTGCCGGAACCGAATAATAAACGTCCCGTGAGCATGAGAGGAAGCAGGTAGGGAGTTCCTCTGAAGTGGGAGCCCAGAGCGAACAGCGACGAGCCCAGAACACACAGAAAGGAGAAGAGAAACACCCCGACTGCAACACAGCGGCACACAGTCACCTGTCTGACTGCAGACTGGGCCTGAAACGATTAATCGCACTAACAGCGATTAATCGATTGCTGAAACGAGCATCAACTGATTTAGTAATCCATTTAATTAACAGCACAGTCAGAGCAGTAACTAAGATAAAACTGCAGAAAAGCATTTATATGATACATTTAAGATCCAAAAAACCTTTTATCTGTAAATATCTTCTACTGAAAATACCAGGTTTAGCTTCACCTGGTTCAAATTCTGCAGAAAACTTGCAGCACTGAGGACCTTTTGCTGTCCAGTAACAGAAATATGTCAACAAGTTCGTTCTACACTGACCTGATGTTTAGTCGGGCAGAAATGTCTGAGCTTTTCACATCCTCAAGTGTTTTTAGCTGCATCATTTGCTACAAATAACTAAAGAAATTAAGTTACTGCATTTTAGGCAATAAAATGTTTATTTTGTTATTTTAAAAAGGAATTAGATTATTTGTTTATTTGCATCTTTTAATGTATTTATAAAATTGTAGAAAAAGGTTTCAGTGGTTGAGTAAGAATTAAGAGAAATGAGTCAATTTTTCATCTGAGTAATCAATTAATCATTGGAATAATCAATTAATCATTGGAATAATCAATTAATCATCTGAATAATCTATTAAATAGCAGAATAAACAAATAATTGCCAGCATAATCTGAAGAATAGATTAATCGATTAATCATCAGAAAAATCTATTAATCATGAGAATAAATAATTGTCAGAATACCCAATTAATAATCAAACTAATCATCAGACTAACTGTCAGGATAAATCACTGATTAGTCACCAGAATAATCAATCTGTAAAATAATCGTTAGTTGCAGCACTATGTAACTCAGGTTTTAAACTCACGCAGACTCACATCGATTTCCTAATTTGTCGATCAGGAATCCGGCCATAATCACCACCACAGCGTTCCTGGTGGTCAGACAGAGACACGCTCACCGAGAGAAAGAAAATATCTTATCGCAAAATGAGTCGACATGCAAATCTGCTTACGTCCAAGCATATATGGCGTAGAGGAGGTTGTACTGCTGCGGACTCATCCCCAGCCCCTCTACACAGTCCACAGTCCCATTGATCACTGTTGCATTGGGACATGTGAGGTTCTGCAACACGAGACAAACCAGAGATAAAGTTAATCTGTGGACAGACCTTGGATTTGAGTCAAACATGAACCCAACAGGTTGATAATGAGGAATCATTCGACTGATTTCACCCCCTGGAACTGGTCCTGCAGGACGCTGGGGATGTCGAAGCAGAAGTAGGAACCAAAAGTCAGGAGGCAGTTAAAGAAGAGAACCAGGAAGCGATAATAAGCTGGAAAATCCAAACAACAAAATACCATTAAATTAACATACTACAAGGCTTCACAGGATTCTGTTGGGATTTCATGATGAAAACGAGTTTTTGATGGTCTTTCACAAGCGTCAGCAACCTTTGCAACCCAAAAAGGAATAAAATGAGCTTAGAGACGCAAAAACTGAATAACCTGTTGAAAGCTTTTTCTGAAGTAAAGATCTGTTATTGAGGGGAGTGAAAAGTTTTTGTCATGTGAGCCAAAATCATAAACTCAAAAATACTTGTGGGCCAAAAAATATAATTATTGAGAACTAAAATGACCAAAATGTTTGCTGGTTTTGTTTTTGTGCACTTAATAAACTAATCATGAAGTAATTTAATCAAAGTAATCACAGATTTTGGTAAGAACAGGATCATATCCAAAACCTCACATTGATTTTTGCACGTTTCTTGTTAAATAAAAGGCATCCAGTTTGTTTATTATTTTGGGCTTGATTGAAGAAATATGAAACAATATTTTATCTTTTCTCAATAAAAACAGGATCTAGCTCAACCTTCATTTTTAAAAAATATTGCTGTAGTTAACCAAGTTTAAATACATCAGTTAAAATCAGATTTGGGTGGCCCAAGGTGGACTTTAATAGTAACTTCAGGTAAACTTCAGGATCTATGGAGGACCAAAACTGACATAATTAAGAAAAAATACAGAAATAAATAAATGTTTAACAAATACGTGAGCATATGATGAATTGGCTTCTTTATTTCTCACCTTTGCAATTATTACTTTATGTATTCTTAATTGTCAGTTTTGGTTCTCCATATAAATCAACTAATGTTTTTAAATATAAATATTCCCACAACAAAATGACACCAAAGCGATAAAGTTTTTGTTTTAAAACAAAGAAAGAGAAATCTCTGTTATTTAAAATAACAGACAAATTTCCAACAGCATTAATTGTTCAAAATTATAAGCTTATCTTTTTTTTTTTTTTTTTTTTTTTTTAAAATTTTGTAGAGACATTTGCGACACTAAAGAATTTTTTTTTAATT